TAATACTATTCTATCCGACATACTATGTATGGGTCTCCAAATCTTTATGTCATCAGCGAAGAGTAGAACGGATGATTTTGCTACAGTTGGCAATTCATTTACATAAAGTAAAAAGAGAAGAGGACCTAGGATTGTGCCTTGGGGAACCCCACTTTTTACAGGTACCCACGAGGAGAGAGCCCCATTAACCCTTACCCTTTGTCTCCTGTCATGGAGAAAGTTACTTATCCAATCGACGACTGTGTTATGGATTCCAAAACGTTTTAGTTTGAATTTAAGACCAGAGTGTGAAACCTTATCAAAGGCTTTACTTAGATCTATGAAAATTACATCCACACAAGCATTCCGATCCTTTGCCGCAGCCCACTCTTCTCGTGCAATGAGAAGATTTGTCAAGCAAGATAGGCCTTTCCGAAAACCATGTTGTGCCCTGGAGAAAAGATTTTGCCCTTCAACATAATTTATAACAGCTGTCCGAATGATTTTCTCCATCAGTTTCACAACTGCACTAGTTAAGCTAACGGGTCTATAGTTACTAACTAAATCCCTACTCCCAGCCTTATACACCGGACTTATTATGGCGTCTTTCCAGTCTCTAGGAAGTCTGGACTGTCTCAGAGACATGTCGAATAGTATCGCTAATGGTTCAGCGATTTCACCTGATATGGCTTTCATAATCCTAGGATGAATATCATCGGGACCACTGGACTTATCAGGTTTGAGATGCTGAAGTAGCCTTAAAACAGTATCTTTCTCAATGACTACAGGATCCATCAGCGAGCCGTCACGGCCACAATGAATCATTGGTCGTTCTTCATTACCGATAGAAAACACTTTACTAAAATATTCCGATAAAGCTTCAGCTTTTTCGGCATCATTCTCTGCTAAGATTAACGGATTGTCTCGTATCAAAAGTGATGGAATTCCATCAATTCTCTTAGTTCGCCTTTTTATATACGAGAATAACCGTTTCGGACTATATCTAGAATCCCTAACCAATTGTTTTTCGTATGAATGTCTAGTCTTGCTTATTAACGCTTTACAGGCATTCCTAATCTTACAATAACTGGATCTGTATTGTTCTAAGCCAGTAGAGATGAACATATTCCAGTGATTCTTCCTTTTTCTAAGGAGTTTCCTGACCGTTTTAGTTATCCATGGTGGACTATTTTTCGGTCTTCGCGGTACCAGGTATGGTATGAACGGGGACGTAACTAGTCTAAATTTACCATTAAATACAGACCATGCTTCTTCAACTGATATGCTAGTATCTACTAACCAATCTGTCTTAGCAGCGCATTCCTGAATGGCTGATATGTTAGCTTTCCATACATTTGGGCGCGGTGTAACCTGATCGTATAACATGTCCCTAGTTCTAAACGCGAATGACAAAACAGCGTGATCGCTGTTTACTAACGGTGGAAGAATATTTAAGTCGACAATATCCTCAGTCTCATGAGTGATTACCAAATCCAGCAGAGAAGAACCCTGGTTAACACCAAAACGTGTGGGTTGGGATACATGCTGCACTAGTGCATGCTCCATCAATGTTATCAGTAACCTACTATCAAAGGAGTTTATAGATCCTTCTGTGGTCATATCAGTCCAATTAATATCAGGTGCGTTAAAGTCTCCTATTATCAAGCACCTGGTATTATCACTCCAAAGATGAATGTGCTCTAAAACAAAGTCATCAGCTAAGCAGATTGGGCTCCGATAGATGACACCTAGCATAAATGTGCTACATCCTATTGCCAACTTACAGCTAATGACTTCACAAGTGCCGCTATCATGGGATTCGCTAGTAAAGGAGCGGATATTTATGCCATTGGCGATATATAACAGGACGCCCCCTCCTTTTCTACATCTATGTCTATCACTCCTGATGCAATGGTATCCGGATAATTCTGGAGTAATGTCTAAGTCATGGACCAACCAAGTTTCTGTCACTGCTACTATGAGTGGCTTTAACCTGTCCACTAATACTTCTAGTTCATAGAACTTATTTCGTAAACTACGAGCGTTGGCATATAAAACTCCTAAGTAGAACAGCCTATCCACACAGGCCTTGGTAGCATTCGCTTCCAAGACCTGACTATCCGAAAACCCACTAACCGGAGATTTTCCTCGCCGTTTTGCCGACGGGTTTCAAGTTCAGCTAGTGCTTTCTTCCTTTTTATTCTATCTTCGAGAGGCATGTCAGGTCTAACTCGGATGTCAGAATTGTCGTGACAACGAGCGCTACTTAACAAGAGATCCCGTTGCTTCTCCGATCCTAGGATTACCTTAAGGAGTCTGCATGGACAGCTGTTACTTGCTTACCAGTTCTCTCCTTAATACTTTCGATAACTTCATCTGCTGACTCACAGTAAAGTATTACGGGCTTCAAGTTCTCTTTTTCTTCTGATGATAATCTCCTTGTCCATGGATCACATACCATCTATGAACTACTACATGGATGATTGTGGAGCATGTTGTAGGATTTGATGACATATCCTTGCTCCTCTAGTCTTACACGGAATTAAGACCTTAAACATAAGATATTAGTTAAAGACCTTACGATTTTTGCTTCACTTTCAAACCTTCCGATTTCCGTTAATGACCAAACGTACAATTAAACGTTACAAACAGGTATTTGAACCTGACATCCTTTAGCAATCTGCTTTCCGTGTGGATGTAACGAGTATAAGTAGTCTGAGAAGCGATGAAATTTTTATTCCATACTTTTCGGAACTCTTTTAAGGCGCTTTCAAAATCATCCCACAACACGAAACGCTTGTTCAGTATCATACTTCGAGAGGCATCGGTAAGGTCGACTGAAATGTCAATTGAGCATGAAGCATTAAAAACAGACATGACTAATTATTAAAAAGTTATTCCTTGCAACAATAATAACCCAAGGAAATACTACAAATACTTAGGATTTACCTGTGGCCTGACATTTCGTTGAGCCTTGCTACACTTGTTGGGATCAAAGATCAAATTACAAAGCAACAACAGAGCCAAAGTGTACACTGCAAAGCAGAGAATGCTAAATTAATGGTTTTGGTATTTATTTCGTGCTTTTGTATGCAGCATAAGATGAAAAACCTTAATAATCATGCAATCCAACCAACCCACGGCAATTGAAATACGGAATGACCGCCTCTAGTCAAGCCGTTCAAGGTCGTTGAGACGAAAAGGCGGGCACATTCGAAGGCACCTAACGTTAGGGTTAGGGCATCGTGAAAAGCGACACTGGATAAATACATTCGTCTTTGAAAATGAAGTGCATTACTCGAAGTAGTAAATAAGGGCAGTGTACTCATCGGATTAGGATAACTAAGCAATGCACTGGGATTATAGATGACCTGGAGAACAATTACATGCATTGCCTTACAACTAATACACGCAGTTCTAGCATCGTGGAAGGAATGCTGCTGCATTTGTAATAGCTCTCTTTCCTGATTTGGTATGTTAATTCCTGCATCTAATTGATCTTCCATCTGCACATGCAGTTGATCACCAAAATCACACATAAGGGATTATATCTGCAACTCAAGGGTAATTTCTCTAACCTTTTGGTTATCCTGTAAATCGTCTTTGAAATTTCGCCTTTACACAGCATTAAAAATTAGTGCACTCTACATGATTTTGTAGTGGTTCTTTGATAGTTGCATAGAGATGTGAAACAGTCTTATCTGGGAATGCTAAAGTTTGTAATAAGCTATAAGCATCCTTTCCATTGAATGTGAGGAAATTAGCCGTCATTTTATCATCCTTAACTTTTTTCCTGGTTAGGCTTCAGATTACAGACCTTTCCATGTAATATTCGAAAACGTCAGGATTGAATGTACATTCAAATATTCTATCAAAGTATCCATCGCGACGTCGATATAATGGTTAGAATTATTCTAATTGACGTGCTTACTAAGAATTCCAGAAATGGTGCAATTTACAGCAAGTAGAACTTGAAGGGCACAAACGAACATATTACATTTGGAATTCGTAACCAGCGGAATATAAAATACAAAAGAATCATTATTTCGTACAAAAGCCACATAATTACAAAATAATCATATTTTGTCACACACATATAGTCATTGGATCGCCTATTTATTGAATTTATAACGCGATACACACTAAGTTACGTAGCCTAGTAGGTCGGTGAAATAGTTAGTTTAGGCCAAAAATATTTGTAAGTTGAGCTACGCGGATGGTGCCTCTTCCCCTAACATTATGACTTAAAAAAGTAGGTGGTCTTGTGTTTGGTCACAAATTTGAGTTCGGTTGTCTTAATTTGATCGTTTGAGTACATGCTCATATATTCGTCCTTAAGCCACACTTCAGGTATGATGTATTATAATGCTGCCCAAACTGAAATAGGTGGAGCGATGCACAAATATGTGACCTGGTAAGTAAATGTAGGATACCTTAACTACCAAATTATCCCCCTAGTAAGTTAGAGCTTACATGTATATGTTTGTTTGTCATTCTTATGTTAGTGATGTTCTATTAGAAACCTTTAATTTTACTTTGGCTGTGATCACGAACTTCTTTAGTAAATGCTTTGAGACAAAGCAGGTTTTTCGTAATACTGAAAATCGACCTAGAAAAATATAGAGAACTGTCATTTATAAAACCGAGTGTTTGCACAGTCCATGTTCAATATATTTTACACATAATTTAAGCTCACATTTCCTTCAGGTTTTACAAACTTTTCAGCAGTTAAACTTTCTCGAGTGGAATGTTATATAATTCTCTGTTACTTCAATTCTCACATAAATGCATTCTTTCCTATTAAACGTCGACAATTAGATATGTTTAGTTTTCATGAGTTACTATGTTCCTGATAGTTTGTAGCCACTAAATGATGTCTTGTATTCTGTTATGTACCAAAAACATTCCGATTGATGTTATTGTTTTTCATTGAAAGTTTTGTTTAAAAACTTCTATAGCTAGGAATTTATTATTATCTGTCAACAGCTCTTATCGCTTTGATACTTCCGTACCCTGTACAAATGGGAATTGGCGACACAAGTGTGAAAGTCGGTGTTCGTGTTCGACCATTGTCAGACAATGAAGTGAATCACGGTAGTTCGACCTGTTTGTCTTATCCAAATGAAGGAAATCAGCTAATAATTGGAAACGACAAGCTTTTTGTCTTTGACTATGTTTTCAAAGAAACAGATTCTCAAGAGTATGTTTACAAAAAGGCTGCACTTCCAATGGTTGAAAATATCCTCAAAGGATACAATGCTACTCTGTTTGCCTATGGTCAAACTGGAAGTGGAAAAACATATACAATGGGTACGTGTATCTCTGAAAGTGTGGTAGAAGAATCCGCTGGTATTGTTCCTCGGATTATTAAGGATTTATTTGAGAGAATGCCAAATTATGAGTATGAATATACAGTGAAGGTTTCATTCGTGGAGGTAATATACACATTTTTGTATTAAGTTATTTCCCAGATATATAAAGAGGATATACATGATCTGTTAGGCGAAGATGTATCTGTATCCTTACAAATACGTGAAGAGAATCAACTTGTTAAGGTATTTCCTCACTGCGTATTTAGAGTTTACTGCATAGATCCCAGGCCTAACTGAAACAGTGGTCACATCTCCGGAAGAAGTTCTTTATCTTCTTCACTGTGGCTCAGCAAAAAGAAGTGTTGCGAGTACAGCGATGAACATAAAATCCAGTCGCAGTCATGCAATTCTTACTCTATGTTTTTTGTTGCGGCCAAAGATAACAGATATGAATGGGGAGAATACAGAAGATACATTAACAGCTAAATTACATCTAGTCGACCTAGCTCGGTCTGAACGAATTAAGAAAACACATGCTGAAGGTGACCGACTTAAAGAAGGTATGTGTATTTTATACGTATCTTTGGATATTTCTACTGTTATCTTTTGGTGGCGTTGTTTTTTTATTACGTGGTCGATATAAATATAGTCCTCATTTGTCTTGCCAAACAGACCAATTAGTAGTTACTCGACATTCAATTTTTTTTCATCACATCAGGTTTGGTTACGCTTGGAAAGGCCCAGGTAGTAAGCAATGTGTTATTGAAACAGTAGGATTCATCCCCATACTTATGGACTATGCTCTTTAACGTGTGAGTGGCATTTAACTCAGTCGATTGAAAAGTTTCACGAGATTATCTTCGACAAGGGTGTTAAACGATATTGCCATCCTATCAAAGACCCTGTTGTCATTTGCGAAGCATATGAGCGTTTGTAGAAAACTTTACTCTTTAGTGATGACACCGGTCGAATGTAGGGTGATACTCTCCTTACTTTTCTTAAATTACAGAGTGAAAAAGTTAAGTGTGTCATATTTTTTACGTATTTAAGTATTCAGATTAACGAAATGCTATTAGAGACACAGGCAAGTCGTTTGGAAGTAGTTAAGCCATTTAATTCGTGGTTCTGGAGAAACATCCAACTATTATCGAGGGGTGTGTATCCAGTGTAGGAGTTTGTTCTGTATTAACTCTTTGAGACGGCCGATGGAAGTAGATGTGTATAGTTTACTGATGTCCTGTCACTACTGTCTTCTCTGTATTAAGATCGAGTTCGGTGTAAGCGAGTCAATTCAACACATAACGATAATAGAAAATTAACAATGGAAGATTTACAAAAAAGCGTTAAATTATTAGGTGTAATATATTTAAATTTTGTAACCTTGAGTGAGAAAAAGAGTGAAGATTTGTCACTGACCACATTTAATTTAAACCATATAGTTTGAAGCTTTGCTCAACGAAATTTCCTTATCATACAGAATGATTTTCTGCTTAAAATTTAAATTGGTGAGTGAGTTAGGTGACTTATCTTCACTGGAAAACTAGTTTTAAGGATCTCTGTAGTTTTTTTAATTAACTTGTTTAGCCCAGTTGATATGGTGTTATTCTTTAAACATTTCCGACAGATATCGATATAAATAGAGGATTGCTTGCCCTTGGTAATGTAATAAGTGCTTTATGCGAACGGGACGCAAAGAAACGATCGCATATTCCATATCGCGATTCACGTTTAACTCGCCTACTTCAAGATTCGTTGGGCGGGAATAGTACCACATTAATGCTTGCTTGTGTTAGTCCTGCAGATATAAATATGGAAGAGACATTGAACACACTTCGGTGAGTTGTTGTTTCAGTGTTGTATATTCCATATTTAATTCACCTTTATGTTGTTACTAAGCTCAACCTATTCTGACTTGTGTTGAAGTTTGACGTAAGGTATTTATACACTAGAAAAGATGGGTGAAGGCCACTCTCCGCACCTAGGATTATTTATTTATTTTTATTTTAACACAGATATTGGTACAAGGAGGCACCAAATACATATGCGCCACACAAATCTCATTCGATATGTGTGAGGGCTGTGATACTGCTCGGGTGCCCAAACCGAAGCAGGTGGTTTTCTTAGGAGGCCACTCCCCGAGCCTTCGACCTGAATGTCTGATCCACACGGTAGTGGAGCATCGTAAGGAGATGCAGTCCCATGGAAGCCCGTGACCAACAATTGGTTCATACGCCATTTGTTCCCGCAGGATACTGGAGCCCATGTGCACCATTGATTTGGATTACGATAGTCCGATAATAATAGAGTTTATGGGCTGGTATCAAATTTCTGTTTGACGTCCCCTAAATATCACCGGATGTCGAAGAAATTGGTTGGGTTAGCGTGATACATACCATGACTACCTCAATGGATGAACTTAATATCCTGGTTGTTATATCTAGAACTTAGATATTTGATATACCTCGTACTACGTGAGCACCCGAATCCTAGAACCTTCCAAGTCGCAAATGACAAGACGAGTGAGAAGGAATGTTATTCCAGTGTCAAATATGGTACAAAACTCAGGTATTTATAGTTTTTAGTAAAAGTGAAATCATCATTATAATCATTCAATCCCGCATACAGTGCTCTTTAGCATTTGTCCAATAGAGAAGCTACACGTCGAGACTCTGGAGTGTTCTTCCAAAAGGTGATTGTATGGAATATCTCCGGCTCTTTTTGAGCTCCTTAGGACTTCCTTGAGTTCACCCGTGGGCCGTCATCACACTGGCCAACCACTTTTTAACTCAATATCTGATATTCAACCTAAACATTATCCAGTCCGTTGTTCAGCATGCGTGACTTATCGATCGGACAAAAGACGCGTAAAACACGTGATAACAACCTAGAGTCCCGATTTCCGCCTAACCCGGCCAGTTAAGTCTAGAACACAAGTCTCAGCTTCTGCGATATGAATCATTATTTTTCAAACATACTCAGTTTATATACCAATCAAACCGAACACAACGTACCAATAAAATATGAAACAACATTTGTACAAGAATTGGCCAGATGTGGCTGTGAATGAGGGAGGTAGTAATCAATACACTGGGTATAGTTCAAGAATGGTAAAACATAAAATAATGGTTCATAAGTCAAAATAAAGCTTATAATAAGAGGAACATGAATATAAACAGTTTAGTTATTTAATAATTATACAATAAAAATATACGTTTAGTATTGGTTCATAAAAGGATCCCAAGTTACCATTCATTGTTTCTCGGGTCCCAACACAAGTACTAGACGCTAATTTTTAAGTGAGTTGTGTAATGCTTTAGCTTTGTACCTTGAGCTACACTACCGTCACCGTAAAACCTTCAGACATAAGTCAAGATTTTCCTACTCCTTGCATCGTGGGAAGGCAACACCCTTGAGGATGCTGGTTTTTGCTGGACACTTTACTAACCCCAAACTCCAGTGTAGCCAACCATTTGATCTCACCTTCCATCCTCCAAAACCTGAATTTTTCGGTCTTACCACTACTGTGTTAATCAGATTAACGTGTTAGGACTTTCAAAAATAAATTTTCTAGTCAATATATCTTGACTGAGTCCTCATAACAGAAAAGCCCAACCACCGCATCAATGTGGCTGGTACGGTCGGGTCATAGTTTTACCACTATTACTCCGACCTTGTTGTGTATCTTGCTAATTTCCTGTTAATATCCTGTTAATATTCGTTATGGCTATTTGTGTCAATGAATATTTGCTGACTGACTTACCACTCAGCGACCTTAATCACTTAGCTATTTCTTATTTTCTCTCAATTTAAGTTATTCCATAACTTTCCTAAGTGGTCAAGCTTTATTTATTAACCTATGGGGCTAAACTATATGTAAGTTAATTTAAAATCAGTTATTCCAATATTTCAATCATTATTCTCTCTCTTAATTTGTAGTAATGTATTTGTATTATTTCAGATATGCAGATCGAGCACGTTTAATTAAAAATAAACCAATTTTAAATCGTGCTGATCCTAAAGATGCTGAACTTGCTAAACTGCGTGTTTTGGTTGCTCAATTACAAGCACGATTAGCTAACAATTCCTCTTGTTTTCCATTACTCAGTCCTTGTCCAAAAACAATTATTAAACCATTATCTACTACTACTACTATTAATAATAATTCTACTAACAGTCATTTTTCTTCAGAATTAGTTACAAATCTCATGAATAAAAATAAAAAGTTAGAGGTTAGTAAGTTGTATCAAGTTGTTATAATCACTATATTCTATTCATTTACTTTATCTCTGGATTAAAAATTTCTGTGATTATTACTTTCAAGTTTTGCATCATGACCCCAAGACAATCATAATCAGATATTCTAAATTTCTGGTGCGTTGAACACTTGTGATGATCACTGATCAGTTTCTATGCCGTCATGGGTGTTAAACTTGAAAAGTAAACAAAATTGAAGAAAAATGAATGCAACAAGTGGTTTACCTTCAATTCTGTTGTAGTTACGAAAATGAGGGGTTATTTCCCGGATTAGTATAATCGACCATGAAGTCATAGATACTGTCAGGAAATATGTTAAAATTATTGATAGTTTGGATTAGAGAAGGACATCAAGTGCATTCGATTTCTAGAATTCTAAAGAATTTTCCAACTGTATAGATTGATTTGCAGTGTTTTTCAACTCCGTTCTCTAAATAACGTTCATTGAAATTCTCTAACACGATCAATAGAAAATTCACATAAATGATGAAGATAGCTAAATATTCGATACCTTCAGACAATAAATCAGGTCTATATACGCCAATAAGTTAAACCTAAGTGTCACTAAGTCTGCATCGGACAACTGATCAGAACATCCCTCAATGTCCTGTGCTAGTTGTTATATAGTTGTGACATAAAAATAGCCTATTAATCATGTAACTAAACTATGTACCGAATTGTTAACTTGATGAGTATTGATTGAATACTTTTCTAATAAATTTCTCGAGTTATACCTCTATATCGCAGTTATATCAGTTTTTTTTATTTCATCACGAAAACTATAAATCCTGTGAATAAATTTATTGCATTCATCAGATAATTCGGTATGAACTATACTCTAAGTGTGAAGACTAATAATACCTCCTGCTTGCCCAAATTGATGTAGGTGGAACGAGGTTTGAACCAGAGGCTCAATTGTTTAACGCTTTAATTCAATAGCTTACCCCTCTTATTATCCCAATCAAATTACCGTAATAAATAGATTTTTAACTTATACATGTATTTATTTTAAAAAATAATCATTTATTATAGAGTGAGAAGCTTCTGCTTTGTGCAGAATTAGATCATATTGTCGAACAAATGCAGGAATTATACAAAAATCGTTCCGACGCTGATCATTTACATGATACAGTAATTTCTGAACTCCAAAAAATCGAATCAATTCTCAAGTAATTTCTGATATTTATTTTAACAAAAAAATATAATTACAGCTCCTTAAATCAATTTGTTAGAGATAAATTCAATGAATATCCTGAACTGATTAGTTATATTCAAGAATTGGAAGATATCCTAACTGGATTGATAAAACTTTATAATGAGTCGAATAAAGTAAGTTCGTGGTGAAATGACTTTTCGGATATATTTATCACTTTGCTTATTCTTCCACTTAATCTGTTATTCTTTTGATTTTCGTATCAAAATCTCTATATCAATGTGTGGTGCTTGTACAGATGATCAGGAATAAAACCTACTTTACTTATTGTTCTAGTTATCCCCCATATATCAGCATAGAGTGTTTACAATCCTGTGTGATTGGAACTCTTTACTTTATTTGTACGAACCAATTATTTAGCCCTGTGTCATATCCTTATACGCAATCTTTTGTCGAATATATTACTACCATTGAAGTAACTGCTTCTATGAATTCGGTGTTGATCTTGTTGTGCTAAGTAATTATGGCAATTTGGATCGATGCATATATGTGCTTGGTCATATGTTATAGCTGACTGACTGAACTAAATCATGATTACACTGTGAATCCCCTTACTAACAAGTTTTTGCCTACTAACCAAATTGATGTAGGTGGAACGAGGTTTGAACCAGAGGCTCTATGGGATGGGGTTGTTGACCCCTTTAAGCATGTTTGGGATCGGCAGTAACCCTAAAATAGGTACAAACGGAGTTATTAACTGGAGAGACGATACTATTATTACGAAATCATATGAAGTGCATTGATAGCCCCGAATTCATGAAGTGTCTGCCATGTTTGTACACAGTTATTTGTAATACCGTACGATGTGACAGCTATTAACTGTGTCTAATTTACAATGGTAGAGTCTCAAAGTAAGAACGAAGAACACCAAAGTATGGAATCTTTTACAGTATGATAGGGTTTAACAGAAACAATCGGAGTAAAAATATCTATTCCAAATGTCACGAAGATATAGTTACCATAATCAATGGACTGAATGCCATCAGCTTATGTAAATTCTCAGGAACGTTATGATTGCAGATGCATGTCCGATTATACTTCCAAAAGTTATTGGAAATGAAATGGGTTACTGAATATTGATAAGTAGTATATAGCAATAGGGTGGAATGGAAAGATAAAGATGTCATTGTAAATGACGTCTCACCACCACTAAGAGAGCAAAACTCATACATTGTCCCCCAACATCATATAAACTACTGTGTCACATTCTAATCTACATGTTTATGTAGATACCCATTAGGCTATGCAGTTGCTAGTGTAATAGAAAGTACTTTGGATTAATTTCTCATTACCAAATTCTTAGATAACCATGCTTCTCCATGGTTGAAACAACTTTATAATTTAGGAGGACGCATTCTTTCATTTTCGACAGCTTTGTCCTAATATCACACCTTTGGTAGTTATCCTCACGTGTTTTTAATATCTTTCCTAATTCTTGGTAAAATTTAAACATAAAGTGTCCTGATAGTACGTGACTATCGTTTAAAGTAGTGCTCGAGGTTGGTCATCATCATTATCATCATCATCTCCACCACCACCACCACCACCACTTAGGTTTGGTGCTGTATTTATAATCAACTGCATGTAATCGGCTGGCAAACGTGAATGCATCTTTCTAAGATGTCATACTTCATTTCATCTGAGGAAGTGAAAAAAATTATCTGAATGTCAACACGGTCTTTGAAATTAATAATAAATGCTGTTGAATAAGACAAGTGAAATACCACAACAGTAGCTATGAAATAATATTAAAATGCCAAGATTTAACGGAGAAGAGAACAGAACAACTACATCTGTTCCATTGCGATTGATTTCAAATTTATGGTGTTCATTGATAGGTATCGTTTTTGATGCGAAACTCTGAAAAATGTTATCTTTCTCATCCAATACAGTCTCAGCCTAACAGTCAGTGGCAGATGCTATTCATTGGTCCAATCATATTAAACTTCTTTCTCAATCTACTCAAGTGTCGTACAGTCGATGGCTGGACATGCCTGACACATTTCAGGCACACCAAACGGCACAGATTCCCATTCTAATCACTCGATTTATTATTCTCTTAATTAAACGCCTTTATTCCACTCTCAGTTTATCATTCCTTGTTGCAAAAACATTTGTAAGGAAATACCAACCACTTTTACTAGTCTATTCACGTACTTACTAATGTCTTCTCCTTGTTTGTTCATGTCTAGATGAAAGACATTCAATCTCGTCTTGAAGCTGCCAACGAAGAGATTGACAAGTTGAAAAAAGAAAACGCTGAATTACGAGAAGTTTCGAAAATTCAGCGCGATAATTTAATGACAATAAGATCATTGATTACAGTAAGTTTACTAAGAGTTTTTACTCATGAGCAGATAGTTTATTATTGTTAGTAGTGAACATTTCGTTGTCAAAGTTATGAATGGTCTGGAAATACAGTATTGATAATATTTTTTTCCTCAAAACTCAGAAAGACAGTGAAATGTTTAAAGCACCTTCGAGCTAATCGGTATCTTGTGTAAACATTCTTATTAAGTGGGATACTTCATGTATTTTTCATCTTACTCAAACTGTGCATCTAAATGTCATCTGCGATTATTCATCAATTTCCACAAAATCCGTGTAGCAACAATAATCCTGTGCTCACTGGTGAGAAGTTATGACTGGTGAAGTTCAACCATGCTGATTTCGAGACAGTTATCCACGACAGGCAATAGAAGATAGTCATATACCATAGTGAATCTGTTGAAGCTAGACAGGTGCACTGTTGGCTTCCGGCTCAGCGTTCAAAATCTTAAGGGCTCGCGCGTACAACCAAAGGTCCTGGTTTCGATCTCCTCTTTTCGGGTCACGAATACGTACCACTGAGGTGTCCCATACCATGAAAACACAGCTGTTTACTGCCTTTCGATTTTCAATAGTTGTTTAAGTTGAGTCTGTGATGCTATTTTTTCAGACTTAATAATCTCTACAAACCCAATTTACCTAAATGAATATTAATTTGGTCAGTTTCCTCTCATGTGAAAGTTTTCCAAGCTGCATGTTCATTTGTTATCACATGTGTAACTTTTAGTGATTAGTAGTGCATTTGAACTTATCTTGAAGTATAAACATGGTTGGACATATCACCTTACGTCAGTCCATAATGAAGATAGATAATCTTCAAATCATTTCCCTTTACTTAGTACCACTTAAATGTGAACCCTACCATGAAATTAGTTTCAATATGAAATTTATCCTCAGTCAAATTAATCATCAACATACTTTATTAGTTACACGACAGATAATAGTCCTACCTACCCCTGTTTAAACCGATATTGATTGGTGAATCGGCTTGATTGAAGTGTTTATAATCAGTGTACCATTACTAAACATTGCTGAATACTGATTTGCAAAGTGTTAACTAATACGAATAATTTAAATTAAAATGGAGACATGAACTTGAGTGGATTTCTGTGTTTTAGTACTATATCCTTATATAAAATTTTTCCTTTATATATTACACCATTGAGTTTACTGCTTCTATGAATCAGGTGTTCGTCTTGCTGTGCTAATGAGATATGGCAACTTGGACCGATGCATGTATGTGCCTGGTCCTACGTTGTAACTGACTGACTTTTAGTATGCAGCCTTGTTTTGAAGGATTTTCACATGAATTGAACTATTTGATCGTAATGGCACTGTCCTGTCACGGGTATAAATTCTGAAGTAAAAATAACGACTGTACCAGTTGCTCCAGCTTTTTATGTAATATTAAGTGTTGCTGCTATTTTAATATCATGTTGAGCACATTTTTTATGGGTTATATGCATAAGCGTCCATAAATCACTCTGGCCTCATATTGCACCATGTATCAATCAAGTGCATATTTTGTTTAATAAGCAAAGGAACTAAGATCATCAATACCATTTAACAATATTTAGGCTACACTACACTTATCCTCCTGAGAATACTTGTCATTTATAGTATAATGGATCATTGAAAGTATCGCTAAATATCTTTATGAACTTGCTTCTTCCTTTGTGAATGCTAAGCACCATTTCTATTGATGCCACCTCTATACTGGCTGTGTTCGCCTAAATTTATTGCTAGGAGTGGGATAATAGTAATTGGTCATCTACAAAGTCTAAGGTGTTCACTGTATTCCGTGCATCCCCAGATATGTTATGGTCTTCATAGTGCAGTCAGCAGCTGGAAAAAAAGAAGAAAAACGAGAGTAACCAGTCTTGTCTGACACTGGTCTTCACTTGAATTACATCTGTGAGCTACCCTCCCTGCACAATTTCGCAATTCAGTACTTCGTATGAGTTCCGTATAAAAATGAAAATCTCTTCAGACACTCCATATTTTTGAAAAAATCCACTCTTTCGTATCCTTTCTCATAATCAAGGAAGTTACTGTACAGCGATGAGTTCCATTCGATTGTGATTGTTCAACATTGAGTTGTAATATCTCGATTCGGCCCGTACGTAATCGATACTTACAAAAGTCTTCACGCTGGTCTCTAGGTTGAGTTACTACTGAATCCTTCGCTCGTTTCAGTTACGCTCTGTTGCAAACCCTTTCTTTGTGGTTCTTACAGTTACTAAGATTTACTTTCTTCTCAAGTTTCCTATGAATCGAGTTTGTTCGTTACTTTGACATGGTGATGTCAAATGAATGACGCTACTCTGGTCCTGCATGCGCGTTTCGGAGACGCAGCACACAACGATGGCGCGAGATTCTGAAGTCCTAGCTAAGGAAGCTTGTCGTTCTAATTGGTACAGTGTTCGGCGTTATAAGCGCCAACATGAAGTTTAGAGGAAATGAGGAAAAATCAACCTGTAATTACAAGAGAAAACCAGAAACGGTTTCACAACGATTGTTTTAGTGTATTTATTATTTTATGAACAACAAATCACGATATTGAAGCTAAAATATACATAATGAAATAGACTACGATTGAGAAAAATAAAGAAGCAAAACACAACACACAAATTAATGTTATCCTACTGGTTCTATCGTAAGCAAGAAATATATACATAAACTGGATAGAAGAAGGGAAAAGAGATAAAATAATAGCGTCCATATGTTTATTTTTGTTGTTCTTCAATCAAATTTATAATGCACGAGTTTTACGTTTGGGACGTAATATAACGGGAAATCCAGATGGTGGTCCCATAACTGTTGCAGGATTTTCGACTGAACTGACTATTTGACTGTTTTGCGATGATGAATCTGAACGATTTTTGCATACACCTGAAACGCAGTAACAACGCAATGGGACACACGGACGACCAGAACGTCTACAACTACACCGTGCTTGACATGTCCCTCGGCATTTACATCGACGTGTATGTGAATCTGCATTAGATTTTGACTGATTAATGGAAATAAAAATTAATTTATTTAATAACTATGAATATGTACAAATATTGTTACGAAAATACTTCGACATTAAACTGTAAAGTGAACTCACTCTTGAATTAATTTTTATTTCCATTAATCAGTCAAAATCTAATGCAGATTCACATACACGTCGATGTAAATGCCGAGGGACATGTCAAGCACGGTGTAGTTGTAGACGTTCTGGTCGTCCGTGTGTCCCATTGCGTTGTTACTGCGTTTCAGGTGTATGCAAAAATCGTTCAGATTCATCATCGCAAAACAGTCAAATAGTCAGTTCAGTCGAAAATCCTGCAACAGTTATGGGACCACCATCTGGATTTCCCGTTATATTACGTCCCAAACGTAAAACTCGTGCATTATAAATTTGATTGAAGAACAACAAAAATAAACATATGGACGCTATTATTTTATCTCTTTTCCCTTCTTCTATCCAGTTTATGTATATATTTCTTGCTTACGATAGAACCAGTAGGATAACATTAATTTGTGTGTTGTGTTTTGCTTCTTTATTTTTCTCAATCGTAGTCTATTTCATTATGTATATTTTAGCTTCAATATCGTGATTTGTTGTTCATAAAATAATAAATACACTAAAACAATCGTTGTGAAACCGTTTCTGGTTTTCTCTTGTAATTACAGGTTGATTTTTCCTCATTTCCTCTAAACTTCATGTTGGCGCTTATAACGCCGAACACTGTACCAATTAGAACGACAAGCTTCCTTAGCTAGGACTTCAGAATCTCGCGCCATCGTTGTGTGCTGCGTCTCCGAAACGCGCATGCAGGACCAGAGTAGCGTCATTCATTTGACATCACCATGTCAAAGTAACGAACAAACTCGATTCATAGGAAACTTGAGAAGAAAGTAAATCTTAGTAACTGTAAGAACCACAAAGAAAGGGTTTGCAACAGAGCGTAACTGAAACGAGCGAAGGATTCAGTAGTAACTCAACCTAGAGACCAGCGTGAAGACTTTTGTAAGTATCGATTACGTACGGGCCGAATCGAGATATTACAACTCAATGTTGAACAATCACAATCGAATGGAACTCATCGCTGTACAGTAACTTCCTTGATTATGAGAAAGGATACGAAAGAGTGGATTTTTTCAAAAATATGGAGTGTCTGAAGAGATTTTCATTTTTATACGGAACTCATACGAAGTACTGAATTGCGAAATTGTGCAGGGAGGGTAGCTCACAGATGTAATTCAAGTGAAGACCAGTGTCAGACAAGACTGGTTACTCTCGTTTTTCTTCTTTTTTTCCAGCTGCTGACTGCACTATGAAGACCATAACATATCTGGGGATGCACGGAATACAGTGAACACCTTAGACTTTGTAGATGACCAATTACTATTATCCCACTCCTAGCAATAAATTTAGGCGAACACAGCCAGTATAGAGGTGGCATCAATAGAAATGGTGCTTAGCATTCACAAAGGAAGAAGCAAGTTCATAAAGATATTTAGCGATACTTTCAATGATCCATTATACTATAAATGACAAGTATTCTCAGGAGGATAAGTGTAGTGTAGCCTAAATATTGTTAAATGGTATTGATGATCTTAGTTCCTTTGCTTATTAAACAAAATATGCACTTGATTGATACATGGTGCAATATGAGGCCAGAGTGATTTATGGACGCTTATGCATATAACCCATAAAAAATGTGCTCAACATGATATTAAAATAGCAGCAACACTTAATATTACATAAAAAGCTGGAGCAACTGGTACAGTCGTTATTTTTACTTCAGAATTTATACCCGTGACAGGACAGTGCCATTACGATCAAATAGTTCAATTCATGTGAAAATCCTTCAAAACAAGGCTGCATACTAAAAGTCAGTCAGTTACAACGTAGGACCAGGCACATACATGCATCGGTCCAAGTTGCCATATCTCATTAGCACAGCAAGACGAACACCTGATTCATAGAAGCAGTAAACTCAATGGTGTAATATATAAAGGAAAAATTTTATATAAGGATATAGTACTAAAACACAGAAATCCACTCAAGTTAGTGCCTCCATTTTAATTTAAATTATTCGTATTAGTTAACACTTTGCAAATCAGTATTCAGCAATGTTTAGTAATGGTACACTGATTATTAACACTTCAACCAAGCCGATTCACCAATCAATATCGGTTTAAACAGGGGTAGGTAGGACTATTATCTGTCGTGTAACTAATAAAGTATGTTGATGATTAATTTGACTGAGGATAAATTTCATATTGAAACTAATTTCATGGTAGGGTTCACATTTAAGTGGTACTAAGTAAAAGGAAATCATTTGAAGATTATCTATCTTCATTATGGACTGACGTAAGGTGATATGTCCAACCACGTTTATACTTCAAGATAAGTTCAAATGCACTACTAATCACTAAAAGTTACACATGTGATAACAAATGAACATGCAGCTGTATTTCCAGACCATTCATAACTTTGACACTCGACCATAGCTGCTACCCTGATGCAGTGGTCGGGCTTGCCTATCGTGATGCCCCAACCGGGCTGTATTGGCTGGAACATATTTCCTGAAGGTTCTACCATGACCGGCAGGTCGATTGGAGAACGGTAAGACTAAAAGCAGCAACTCAAGGTCGGAGGGCGAAGTCGTATTGCTGAATGTAGAGCGGTGTGACAGCAGTAAGTTGTTTCTCTCGGACAACCAGCATCTGCAGCGATGTGGCCTTCTCACAAGGAAGGAAGGGGTTGGAAAAGGTCGACCTTAAAATGTCACACCTCACCTTACCTCATGGATTTCTGTCTCCGGCGGTAGGGCCATTTGAAGAACGGAGCTAACACGTCAAAAACCTCCCACAAAAAGGCCGTGCGCGACCGGCCTCAAGCAGTTGTCTCCTGGGCTCTGCGGTCACGCTCCCAGGTCGTTAAGGCCGGCATTAATCCGACTTCATTTTCAGGTCACATCGCTATCAACCACCGATGGACGGGCTCGATAGAAGACTGTCGCTCATTCTGGAGCACATGCCTAGATTCAGATCATGCTCTAGGGCGAGCGCGTATTTGCCTGTGTCTGACTGGACGCAAGAAAGACGCTGCAAGGAAACCTCTTAGGGGCCTACTTAATGATAGTCAAACTAAGAGTATATTTCAGGAACAACTAGAAAAACAGTTAGGCAGCCATGTAGGTGATGCCCACCCCGAGGCAGCATGGAATGATATCCGAAAAGCTGTGGAAACAGCAGTGACATTTACTAGTACGGTAAACCGTAAGGTTAGGGAGAAACACTGGATCTCAGCAGCATCTACCGCACTGATAAATGCTCGAAAACTCATACCATCTGGATCTCAACATGACGAAGAGCGGAGTCAGCTTAAGCGCAAGCTGACAAGAAGTCTACGCAATGATCGCGAACACTGGTGGGTAGCGAAAGCAAGAGAGATGGAAAAGGCAGCGGCAATAGGTCATAGCAGACAATTGTTCAGACTCGTTAGGGAAACCGGTATTAGGAAACCGACTGTTAGCGAAACACTCTCAGAGAAAGATGGACAAATTATACATTCTCAATCCAGGAGATTGGATCGATGGACAGAACACTTCAGGGATCAGTTCAACTGGCCTTCAGCCACATTTCGATTTCCTGTAGTGTCAGTTATTATGCCAAGACCATATACCTAATTCGAGCTTTCGGACATCCCATTCTATTCATTTTACTTGAGCCATACATTGACCTTGTTATTTATTCGATTATCAATCTAGACTGTTTTTATATGAGCGTATATGTGTGTGCCCTTCTTATTCCATTAATCACATGTCTGTAGCTTATTTTGTCTGACTATATATATTGAGTAACGCTTGACAAAGATGGAGTTGGCTTCCCAGCCATCTTCCATACGTGTCATTTTTGCTTTGCTGTGCTTCATTCGCTTCATGTACGAAATATATGTATTCTCAAGTCAATTCTCGTTATTCGACTTTTTTAATTCCGTTATTGGATAACGCGATTCAAGCCGACGATGATATACGAGAAAAGGCGATAACAAACATTTATACGATCTTGGAGTCAGATCAACGGGTCTCAACATTTGGTAAGCCCGCCGACGACGAATGCAACGCAGCAAGCTACATCGATGAAGGAACTTCTGCACTCTATACGTTCGACGACCAAATTCAGCGAAGCCAGCGCAATCTCCAATCCAACGCAATCAGCACAGCCTGTGCAACATGACATGGACATTCTCAAATGTTATTATCTTATTGTTACTTTGTCCTCATGTCAATTATCCTCAATGATACATTTTTCGGATTGTTCCATTACGATTCAAATTATCATTATATGCTTATTATTACATTATTGTCAATATCATGTCCGAATGTGGAATTATTAATCTCGTTCGTGCTGTCACTAAATTGACATTTTCACAATCATATTACTCACCGAACAAATTATCATTTTATGAAAATTCCACTTAACTTTGTGAGAACTCATTGGGATATTTTTACTATTCAAAAACGTGAAATTTTCCTCCTTTAAGTGAGTTCGTTCCAATTTTTCATGTCATTTTGATCTAATATTGCATTCATTCACTTAGTCGAGGTCAGCAATTTATGTTATCACAACATACATTTTTCATTTCGAAGTCGCCTCCTATTATGTATGTGGATGCCTCTAACTAGCTGATTAGTAACCATTACGTTCATTTTATCTATTCTTCCACGTGCATAACCACATGCTGCATCACTTATCACTCAAAAACGCTATTCGAGTACTGCAACTACTATTCTATACCCATCGCTCGGTATATCAGAACATAGAGTTTAGAGCTAGTCTCTCAAAGATACACTCTTGTTCGTTACATCCAAGTCAGTCTCATACGTCGCCATCGCTAATCATATGTATTAGTACTTCTGTTATGCCTTGGTACGGTTTTGTAACAAACGAGATCGAGCGCATCTCCCTCAAACCACACAAACCACTCTAGGCTTAATGACCAAAAAGGAATACGACTCTGTGTACCTTGTCTACTCAGTCACTATTCTGTTCCTCTGGTCATCCTACTAATACATATTCAACGATAACTCAATGCATCTGTCATAACGCAGACGACAACGTTCACTGACTTCACATTTTATGATTACTATCAATTGCGGTACAGTAACGAATATCACCCGTCGATGCAGTTATTATTTCACGACTTACCTATTATCATCCTGCGAACGGGAACTACGCATTTAAATTCGAATTCACTCATCGCTAGTCGATGCTATTTATTCTGCTGCGGCTCAACAGAACATATATTTAACGTATTTCACTATTTCGTCAGCATCACAGACTAATTTCTGTCATATTCTACTGTACTCATTTTGACGATCTATTTCCCTGTCATACCCAC